GCTGGAGTTGATCATCCTGTACTGTTGTTTATCCTGCCTGGTTTTGCTGGCTTCTAGCTTTGATACAGTTCCCTTCTTTACCATCCAGACAATATCTGCTTCATTGAATGGTCTCTGTAATTACAAATGTACTTCTTAAAATGAACTAATATCCTCAGTTCAGATCAACAATGCTTTTGACATAAAATACTATTATTTTAAAAAAAGGTTAAGAAAATTATTTTGTTGAGCAAAGGTGAATGAATATACGATTTAATCTTTACTTAAATGTTACTGAAATCGAATGCTTGTACTCTTACTTACGTTTTACTCCTTACATTTTTAGTTAGACCTTCAAAGTATTCATCACAAATCCTGCAAGTCTCTTCTTTCCTCATGTGGCCAATGATTGTGCGCTATGTCCCTTTGGAATGGGCTCCCATATATTTTATTTTCAATTCAGTTTAACATCCAATCAAGTTAATCAATGTAGAAAAAGTATCAAGAACCATGACAGTTGATCTTCTGCACTGGCCTTCTCATGCTGTACAATGTAGTTAGTGCTATAGATCTCTGTGTATGTTTGAAGATGGATAAGCCTTCAGACTGCAGTGTGAAACCTGAGGATGAGCACCCGGGCCTTACCTCAGTAAAATGTTTCAGTATGCTGGAGTAAGCAAAAACTCATAAAATGAGGTGTCTCCCTTGCCTCCCTGGAAGATCTAATTTGAAAAAGCATGCTGAGAAGCAAGATTTGCTAATTAGCAAAATTGTGCTAATTTGCTAACCATAACTGGCTATATTTATTTAGATTTCTTTGGATAGACTACCATCGCTAGCATAAGTTGGCTAGACAGTAAGTCAAATTCTAGCTAATGGTAAATATCGGTTGTTTACATGATATTTTCCTTCTGATTAATTCCTTAGCAAACTATATAATGTTAGTCATGTATATGACCAGCAAACAGAAATGGAATGATGTTTTCAGGCAAAACAGCGTAGTTGCTTTAAAACGAAAAATGTCTTCTGTCAGTTTTAGATACGTAATAAAAGCACACGACATTGACTTAATTTCATTGGTTAAAAACATTTACTTTTGACTTTTGAATGAGTTACAAGAGTACATTTAAAACTAGAAAGTGAGTACATTTTTGACTGAATATTTTTACTTAAGTGTAATTTCTCAGTACTTTTTCCACCTCTTTTTGGAAAACAAAAATGCTTGAGTGAAAGCATTGCATGTTTATTTCCTTACAATATTATAATTATTTTGCCCA